TCCAATCTGTGAAGTCACCTACTTTTACTACGGCCACAACTTAAGGACTTTATTTACACTACAAATTACTGCTGTAGTTGAGTGTTTAAGTATAAATTTTATGTACACTATTTTAGACAAGCAAAAGAAACTTATCTACTATTCATCAACAGCCTTTGATAGTCCACTGCCTGCAGTAGTTTTGGCCTACCACGCTCGTCAGACGGGTTGGGAAACGGTTTGTGTCAAGTTTTCCTGCTGCCTGCAGTGCTGTTGTTCTGCGTAGTTTTAAAATAGGAATTAAGAAAAGTTTTAATATGCGAAGGAGATAATTATATAGATGACATACGAGTATAATTAATTCCGATAGATTTAAAGTCGGGTCCTTTTAAACGCGTGGTCTGCTACAAGGAATGCTGAGCTCCTTTTTATCTTTTTTTATGGAAAAGAAGGCAAACGAGCAGACGGATCACCTGATGGAAAGCGACTACCGCCGCCCATGAACGCCTGCAGCTCAAGAGTCACAAACCGCGTTACTGGCCTTTGAGGAAGGAATAAGTTCTTTTCTTGAAGGTTTGGAGGTCGTATCGGTTCGGCATTACCGCAGACGATAACTTTTTAAACAGGTTGGTTGTGCGAGGCAAAAAGTGTCTCGAAAAGCGCACAGTGGTGGAGTACCAATTAACCACGAGTCTCGAGCTAATAGTGTCTTTACCATCATTTATATGTAATAATAATAACTTCACACTTCTCACACTAGGCAGTCTGGTCCTAAACTAGGCAAATCTAAGAATAATAATTTTTAAGTCTCAAGCTAATAGTCTAGTCTATATTGTACTGTCGTAATCTATTTATTATCTGTGAATTAAAATTAATTGTTAATAATGTGTATAAAAACCTATACATAGACTCTTTTAAATACACAACCTTTGGCGGTAGGTAGGTAGGAGCTACCGCTGCCTAAAATGATCATACCATCAGTAACATCACTCATGGTCACTCTGCCTTACCATCCACCTAATAGACTATTAATGTGTACTAAATTATACCAGGAAACCGAATTCATTTTATCTAAATTTCATCACTGTTAAAGTTGAAACTTATCTTGAGCAATATTCAGTCGCGTTCCGCGTGCTCCATGGCCCATCCTAATTGCTTCGCGCTCGGGTGATACATTGGACTGAGATAGGACGTCGTTGCCAAACACGCGCCTCTAAGGATTTCTCCACAGCGTTGATTACGCTATGGGATTCAGCGCCGTAACTAATTCTATACGCAACTTACTTCACTGTACCGTAACACTATGTAGTAGTACATTTTAAGGCTAGGTTATAAGATAAACAAGAGAAATGTTTGTAGGAAAATGTTACAGTGAAATTGTAATGTAAGTTTCAGTGAAACTGGAGATTAATTATATTTTTTTAGTACGAATTTTGTACATGAATATGAACATGATAAAGTGTAGTGTAGTGTGTTTGAAGTCTATAATGAATAAGAATACCATACCTAGGTTGAATTTCAATTTCTAAGGTGAATATTGTTTTTTTTCTATAGTTTAAGTAACATAATATCTGTTCAAAGTGCTTATCCCAAGAGTGGACAAATAAATGCATCCTACATAATACTCGGATAATCCAACACTTTATTAGTAGTTTTTATAGTTATTGTATACTTGGCAAATAATAAACCAAGTCAATTTGAAGTTTTAAAATATTTTAATAACTACGGCCTTTCGGCCAGTGGGGTGACCACAAATTTTGTTAATTATACAGTTCCGAAGCATCACGTACCTCAATAACTTCTCGAGATTTGGCTGTAATCTTAGTCTCGGGCGTGTTTGGCAGCGCTTCACTGTGTTGCCGTTACCAAACATGCAATTAGCTTTATTATCTATCATAATTTACTCCTTTATGTACTATCCAAATAACTTGGGATAACATTTTAAAGAAGGTACAATTTACTAGACTAGATATATTAGACTATCCCACACTAGGTAAAATATATCCATAGGCATACCTAGTTTAAAAAGATAAATGACCATATTATTAACCGACCATATTATTAAAAATGCAATACAATGTTCCACAAAGCCGTTATTGTACGCTATTGACAAGACGTGTACTCCATTCACTTTGATATAGGTATAAAATATAAAAAAAAACATTCTTTGAAATTGACTCTATACAGCTTTATTTTATAAGTATGCGTTATATAGTTTAAATAGCAATATTGTACCATACATTTGAATGCACGGATAGCGTAGTGGTTTAAGCGGTCACCTCGCCGCTTTGTACTGCGCTGAGTGTTAAGGGTCTGATCCCCACATGGGACAACACTTTGTGTAATGCACAAATTGTTGTTCTGAGTCTGGGTGTTCTTTGTGTCGTTTTAATGTATGTTTGTAAAGTCCCCCGCGAAACAGGATATATTCCTAGTGCAGTATTTGTCTTTTTAACTAATAAAACACCAATGCTTGTGACATACGCTATAATGACTTTTGAAAACGGATCATTTGAAATCGCATAAAAATTTCAAAACTCATTTAATCAAAACAATTTTAATTATTTAATCAAAAACTGTACACTGTTTAAATTTAAAATAGTAAAAGTAAAATTTGTCATTTTATTTATTATATTATATATTTTTGCCAGGTTATGTAGGTTGCATAAAGAAGATCGACTTATATAACTTAGCAACTCCATCTGGTATCATCCATTTTAGTGTGGAAAATTGTAAAGTCATTCATGTGAAGAATAGTAAAATCGTAGGATCTGTCATATAGTACATATAGTATTATACAGCGTTTTCTCGGCTTGTATGTATGTCCGAGCTTAAATGTAAATGTTGAATGAGTCTCTCAGGTTAACCGCGTACTTTCCCTTTTAGGAACTGCATCTTCTGCGCCGAGGATAAAGACGGATTGTTGTGGAAAGCCTCATCGAAAAGATCTTTGAACAACGTCCACTGCTGGTAGTTACCGTTGAACATCGGTATTTCTATCTTTGGTAATGAATTTTCCCTGTGAGATACTGACCATAATTTATGAATAATAGCCTTTTTTAAATTATTGAATGCAGTCTCGTGTATCGGAAACAAGTTGTCGTATTCTTCATCCCCCCGTCGGTTTCCATGTAGATCTGCCAATGTAGGCTATCTATTGTAGTCCAACGAGACTCCAACTCCTTCAAGACGTCCTCAAATACCCAGTCGAATGCTTTATGCTACACTAACTATTGCCCGCGGCTCCGCCCGCGTGTATATAGGTTATCGCGATAAATAAGACTATGTACTTTCTCAAGACTAACTATTTCCATACCGAATTTCATCTAAATCGGTTCAGCGGTTTTTGATTCCCCAAACAAACTTCCATCCCCTTTTCAAACCATAAAGAATGATTTCTAGGATAAAAACTATCCTACAAAAATTTCATCTAAAGCGGTTTCAGCGTGAAGAGCTAGTGGCTAGTTTACGTGTACGCGTTGCTTTTGACGAATTAATGAGATAAAGTGTAAGGTATCCAAAATGTCCTTTGTTAAGATTTCATAAAGGATAGACTATGCATCTTCCACAGATAAGCTATTCATTTCGTATAAAGGCAAAGGATTTTCATCGCATTTATAACTTTGCGTAAATCAATAGCTTTTGATTTTCTGACGTCTCGACCCTTTGTACTCCATTAGGAGCTCTTATTTTTTATTTTAATTAATACCTATGTATAATGTTGACTGATTCAAATGAATCAATTTAGCAATTGATCAAAAGGAATCAACGGACATTTTAAAAGAAACAAACCTAATTCCATAAGCAAAGATTAACCACTTCATTTGAAACTCTTTGATGTTTATTAAGAGACGTAAATCGTCTCTTTCGCAGAGAGGGTTTTAAACTCGAGGTATTTACTTAAGTATTAAACGAATTATCTACTAGGTATAGAGATACAGAGTAAATTCAATCAAGAAATTCATTCATTAACGTTTCAATTGTAATTGGATCATGTTTTCTTGGATTCTAAATTATAACGATACCGAAAGCGTTTTCAGAAGATATTATTAGAATAAATGTTGACTGAATGAATTCTTCATCATTATCGTTTTGCAGTCCACTGCTGGACGTAGGCCTGTCCTATTGCACGCCACTTCGATCGATTTTCGGCTCTTCGCATCCAGCTCCTGCCAGCTATCGTATGCAAATCGTCACGCCACCTGGCCTGTGGGAGCCCTGCACAACGTTTGCCGCGACACATACGAATGAAAGAATTCTTATGTGACTCTACATAATTGGGAAAAGAATATTCTTTTTAGAGTTCTGTAATAGGCCACGAGTCACTCAGACCTCAGCCTGTGACCACGGACAGTGCAACAGTGGTCGAAACGCGAGCGCACTAATTCCCGTAAGCATAATTAATATATTATGAAAATTCTAGTCGAAGATTCTAGAATTTGAATGAGGCCGTCTGGTAATCTGTCATACAGGTCTCCTAGTACAGATGGCAGTCTCTCACATAGTAGCAAGTATATGTCTAGGATTAAGCTTCCTTTATGAAATTTTGTATTTTGTAGCTATGTGAGAGAGAAATAATAAACCATTATTATTATTAATTTTTGAAAATTACAGTTAATGATTTCTGGAAATTACTCTTTTGATGTGACCTCCTTTTTAATATATAAATTGTAACCATTAATACCCCTTTGCTTCGTAGCATTTCTCGCCTTATTGTAGTTTTTATAACCGTCGCTATCCTGATAGGCTGATTTTTTTAAAACTAGAAATTACTGCATCGGGCACCGTTTGAAACAGATAACATATCTTAGATAAAGTAATGTAGTGTATATGTGACGACCTTTTTGCTTTCGTAAATTCTATATTAACCTTGATGTCTAAATTATGTCAGTTAAATTATAGGTTAGAATCCCTAAACATGATTGTAAATGTAGTCAATAAATACACTTAAGGAGTATATAGTTATAGTTTAGTTGTAATAAATGTGATTAATCTGCACTTAGGTATACTACATTGATAAAATGACTACAAAATGTTGGAAAATAGACAATTTGTGCGGTTTCACTCTTTCACAAAGCGTTTCGTTTGCCGGTATTGTTACATTGGTAAGTAATCTCATGTCATGAATTCGTATAAGTTTCCTTTGAAAATCAGTTCTTTCGTTTAGCTTTAGAAATAATCTGTATCTAATCTGTATATGAAACATATTTCATAGTGTATACATGTATACACCATTTCAATGTGTCTCCTCCTGTTAATGAAATTTTCTATGGTGAATTTATGAATAAATACAAATAAATCACTTAGCTATTTACTTATAATATCTGGCAGAACACTCAAAATGATCATTTCATTATTGTTGACTTTTTCTATTAAAATATTCTCTGTAGCGGTTTGCAGATAGAAATTTGATGTTGTTCTAGCATTAGATACATTAGAACGAGGGCTTTATTGGCACTTCAAGATGGATATATATCTCTATCATGAAAAATTAAACCAGAGATACTAACAAGGTTTCTGAAATTCATTCAGTTTGAAACAAAAGTAATTGTTAGTCAGTTTTGACAAAAACAATATCACTTCTTCGTGCCTTGGTGAAGATGTACCCTTTTGCTATAAAAAGACTGTAAGCTAACCTAAAATAATAAAAAAGTGCAGTAAACATATAATGGTTTAGATTTAATGGCTATGTAAAAGCTCTCGTTCAATTTGATTTTAACAACACACACTTATGCCGTTATAAAAATAAGGTAAATATCTAAATAAGTTAAAGCTTGAAATTGTAACTAGTTATATAATTTTATGTTTTTTTTTAAATTGAATCTTATTTATAAACCTTTAGAGTGATTGCTCATAAATCGCATCGATAATTGTCGCCATTATTTTGTGACACTGCCCCAATCAACCCAATTACCTCTGCTTATGATTTAAACAACTTTGTAATAGATTTTAGAACCAAAATATAATTTAAGTATGTTAGCTATAATCAGATATCCGAATAGGTAGAGTTGATTTACCTATAGTTCGAGGAAATACACAGTAAAAACATGGAGTAGGATAATACCTACTCTAAAATCTCTGAAATCATAACTAAGAGATTAGCATGTTAAAACAAACATACATTTAAAACAATTTCCGTATTATTATATCAATATAGATTAGCATGTAATTCCCATTATATTAGGTGTGATTGTGTAAAATCGCCTCAGTTCTAGAGGGTTACCTTCATCAGTACCGAACTGAAGCTACGTTAGACATGATTTATATTGATAACGGTATGCTACTTACATTTCATATATTACAGAAAAAAGTGCATGTGATTGTGTATTAAATGTATTCTTTCAAATCAACAGGTTATCTCATTCGTGGCGATGGTCTGTGCTTTCATCACCGTAAAAGATATTTCTCTCGATAATGAATATAACAACAGGCCGGTGCACGCGATCAACATGATCTTCTCTCTCTACTGCTTCAGCATATCAATGTACCAGATTATTATATCTGTCATGTTATTATCGGTAAAGTAACTATAATCTCTGTATTCCTTATTATACTTTAACACACTTGTTAGTATGCTAAAAATTCATTCTAGTTGTTGAATCGAATTTAAACGTTGTATATACATGTACGTTATTATGATCACAACAGTATTGTTTGTCATTATGGATCTTATGTAATAGAGAACTATTTTTTACTTTTAAATTCGTTTTGATCTTAAGAAGTATTTATAATTAAATTACGGACGTCGCCTAAAGAGAGGAAAATTTTGAGACGGAGCCCGCAACAGGAGCGGGCCGGCGCTAGGAGGGGTCCGGATGTCTTAATAACAGCTGTTCCCGGATCCCTCCTATTACGGGCGCAGAGTGGCACACCGTGTGGTTTTAGTCGGTCCGAGTCCGACACACCACCCTGTAGCCGCTTTTCTTCTCAGGCGGACTACTCACCGGAGTGGAGTGTACCCAGTGGAGAGATTCAAGAGATTACCTCAGGGCGCCTTGTATGAGAATAGAAGTGTGTGCGTGTGGGAAACCTATGGGACTCTTTAGAGGAAAACAACTTACACCTCAGTTATACATACATGTATATTTCAAAAAAAAAGTAGTTCAAATTTACAATGAGAAATGAAATAAATTAAACAGTGTGGGTACAAGAAAAAGAAGAAAAAAACCGCAGCGGAGCGCGTTGGAGCCGAGCTGATGGTGCTCGGTGCCTCCTCGTCGTCCCTCCAGGAGGTTACTTCCTCTTCCGCCCGAGTCGGCTATTTATAACAATTTGCAATTATAAGTTTAAGTACGTAACTCTTGGGTACGGCTGTCCGCTTGCGTCGTGAGCCGCGCAATCACCAGCTTTGCCAGAGGGTACCAAGAAACTTGAGTCTGTACCAGAAGGCCACAAAAGAGCAAGCACGCCGTCTGAGACTGACCGTCTTGAGCCCGAAATCTGGGACCCTACGAATGGATTAGCACTCATATAATTAAACAGGTTCCAGAAACAAATAGGTTTAAGTAGAATTAAGAACATACTCACCACTTTAGTGTGGGTACTTTTGAACAGATAATATATTAAGAAAATCAAATCACACAGCAATCAAAACACTATATAAGATCGGAAGGCACGAGATAGCAGTGTCTCCCGTGGCAGAAAGCCGGACTTATATATCTTCGGTTAACGAAGCTTCCAGAAAATAACCCCTCTTCAACATTTTACTTTGACATTTAACATCAGTGAACACAGAAGATCAAAACTGTAGTTATAAACTACCTTAGATAAATCAACAACAATGCAACGCGGCTAATAGATGTAGCTTTTAACAAGACCGTACGCATTACAAATGTACAAAAAAAATAACTGTTACACCACCCCCTCCCTCAAAGTATTCCCTGCGTAGCATGCGCAGGGAATATCATCACCAGGGTCAACCCAAGAAATGCAAAATAAATTATATAGCTCGCGCTGACCACACTCATTGTGAGCAATATGAAATCCAAACAAAACAATAACTACCAAAAAAAACAAAGTCAAAAGGCCTTCACCCAATACTACAGAGGTGTTACCCTATTTACTACCCGAATCACTGTATGGTTCTCACATAAGTGAACACCATAGAGTGAGCAGGTGTGTGGCAAAGAGAGACCGTGCGACGCGAAGTGTGCAATCTCACATACGAGTAGAGACGGAACTGACATAGGTAGGAGCAGGAGCAGAAGGTTGTTCCTTTTCACTATACTTCAAAATGTCCTTAATGTGATATACTCCCAGATCCTTACCATCCAAATCCGACAGTTCGTAGACTAAAGGAGAGCGTTTGGCGGTGACAATGCATTTCATAAATTTAGGCGCTAACTTCGCCGTAAAGTTCTTAGCCTTGTTAGATAGATAGAATGTCCTCTTATAAACGATCTGTCCCAGTTTCAATTCCACATGCCTTTTTCTGAGATTGTAGTATTTCTCGTTACGCCGGTGAGCAATATCTAAGTAATTCCTCACCTGGTCGTATATCCGATGTAGTTCCTTCAATCTCTCACCAAAGGACACTGGACTGTCAATGGAAACAGAATTGGGATGGGCAGGAATCTCTGTCTGTCTATAAAGAACTCCATCCCCTATGAATTCCCTACCGTGAACAAGAAAATATGGACTGAAACGAGTGGCTTCGCTGACAGCAGTGTTTAGGGCACACTGGAGTTCCACGAGATTCTCGTCCCATTTCCTGTGATGTGACTTCACATAGCAGGAAATTCCCTGAACCACGTTGCGTATAGCTCGCTCTGCCTGGTTGGTCTGTGCGTGATATCGAGGATTATAATAAATGTTAGGCACATTGTACTTAACCAACAAGTCCCTAAACGGTTTGCTAACAAACTGTGGGCCATTATCCATATAAATAGTTTTACAAACCCCGTGGACTAAAAAAACATTCTTTTCTATGAATCTCGCGACAGCAACGCCTGTTGCTATCCGTATAGGACACAACATGACATATTTACTGAAATAGTCCGAGACCACAATTAAATGAACGTTTCCCTTGCTGGAAGTAGGGAATGGACCCAGCAGGTCACACGAGATGGCCTCAAAGGGTCTAGACACCCGTTTCGGATTCCCCATTAGGCCGGGACGAGTAGTGTTCACAGGTTTGTACTGCTTACAAGTCTCACACTTGTCTACATATTCCTTGACACTCTCGTACATCTTAGGCCAGTAATAGTAGAGGGCCAAACGTTTATGGGTTTTCCAAACACCCCCATGGGCACTCATGACGTCGTCATGGTACTTGGTGAGCAGGGATAACCTGTCTTCCAGCGGCACCACCAGCTTCCACTCAAAATCAGAAGTCAGAGAGTATTTCTGTTTTAATAGCCTGTATAAACAGTTATTCCGTATATCAAAGTTGGGGAAGTGCTGGGGGTTCTTCTTCACCCTGTCTAGAGTGTGGAGGTACCAAGAGTCCCTAGTAACGCTGGTGCCTATTGTGTCAATCTGAATTCGAGACAGAGCATCGGGTACCACATGGTCTTTACCTTTTCGATGCTCTATATCGACGTCAAACTGGCTCAACCTCATGCTCCAGCGCGCCAGGCGACCTGTCGGATTCTTAAGTTTACGGAACCACAACAGCGAGGCGTGGTCCGTAACTACGGTGCATTTCTGGCCTTCCACGTACTGCCTGAACTGTTCCAGAGCAAAGATCACCGCTAGGAGTTCTCGCTCAGTGGTGCTGTAGTTGACTTCGTTTTTGTTAAGAGAACGACTACAATACGCGATAGGGTGTTCCACTCCCTCATGTGTCTGCGTGAGTACAGCAGCCACAGAGAAGGATGACGCGTCACTGAGAATCCTAAAAGGCAATGAGTAGTCAGGCATTTTCAAAATAGGAGCGGAGACCAAAGCGGCCTTCAACAGGTTGAAAGACTCTTCAGCCTCACGCGTCCACTCAAATGATACATTCTTAGAAGTTAATTTACATAAGGGTTTACTAATCTTAGAAAAATTGTTTACGAAACGCCTATACCACCCAGCCATGCCCAGGAATCTTTTCACCTCCTTAGCATTGGAAGGTGTAGGATAGTTGAGAATGACATCAACTTTACCTGGGTCTGTCCGCAGGCCATGCTTGTCAACATAGTACCCGAGGTATTTCAATTCGCTACGACAGAAATGCGATTTTTGCATGTTGATCGTGAGACCCGCATCCTTAAGGCGCTGATAGACTCTATGTAAGAGGTCCACATGCTCCTCAAAGGTGCTGGCCACAATGATTATGTCATCCTAAAATGCGAATACCCTATTGTCGAACTCGGGACCAAATAGGCGGTCCATGAGGCGTTGCATCGAAGCTGAAGCTCCGATGAGACCGAAACACATAACGTTGTACTGAAAGAGACCCCTTCTTGGGACAGTGAAGGCGGTCTTCTCGGCGGATTGAGGCGAGTCAAAAGGAATCTGCCAATACGCCGCGCTTAAATCAATGGAAGTCAAATACCTTGCATTATTGAGATGGTCTAAGATTTGGTTGATATACGGCAATGGATACGCATCGCTCTTAGACACAGAATTGAGCTTACGAGAGTCAAGGCACAATCTTAGGTCACCATTCGCTTTCTCCACCATCACCACTGGTGAGTTCCACGCGGACTGAGATGGGGTCACTACTCCCATCTCCAACATCCGGTCCAGTTCCTCTTCCAAGGCTTTCTGTTTCAGGGGAGAGAGCGGATAGTACCTTTGCTTGATTGGCTTACTGTCTCCTGTGTCTATGACATGATGCACCAGAGATGTTCGACCTAAGCCAACCTTGTCCGTGTTGATCGTATCAAACTTCTCAATGATGCAGTTAATTACCCGCTTCTGATCGGCGGTCAAATTGTTGTAATCCTCTAGACCACTGTTAAGAGACAGAGCCTCCACAGGATTACAGTCGCTAAAGTTGGAAAGATTGATATTCTGAGAGATCAGTCTATTCCCCAATTGAAACTGTTGCCAGAAGTCTACACCAAATATCATGGCAGTAGTAATCTCTGGAACAACATAAAACTTAATAACTCTGACAGCAGAATTATATTCAATAGGCAAAGAAATACAGCCCAGACATGGTAAATATGAGCCGTCTGCTGTAGTTAGGTTAAAGTTAGGGCTGATGCTTTCAAGCTCAAACCCTAATTCAAAAAAAATGTGGTGCGCTCCCTTACCCAACACAGAGCAAGCTGCACCCGAATCAAGTAACCCTAGAACATTTAAGTTCAGGATCTTAACTACTAAATACGGTCTTATATCATTATCCCGTTTGGTAAACAGGACCCTATCAGAGTGATCACCAGACAGAGAAACTCGCTCCGACTCGACTGGTGATCTTTTAACAAGGCCCTGACTTACTCGTTTTTTGGCTTGGCATTGCATTTCGGACACTCAGGTGCTCTGACTCCCTTATGTCCACACCGGAAACACACCACATCCCTCGACTGTGTACAGCCGGAGGTAGGGTGACCGCCACCACCACAGCGGAAACACTTGTGTGCGCTCGAGGTCGAAGGACGGGCCACTGCTGAGACCTGTTGAGAAGTTTTTTGAACATATTTATTTTTCATATGGTGTAAATCCGAGGTGATCCCACACCTTTCGAAAGCTGGTTCCCGAAATGCCTCAGCCCTAGCACGCGCAAGTTCAAGGCGCTTCCCCAATCGCTTCAGATCAAATATAGATTTTACGTCATGAAGGGCCAATTCCTTCATGTAATCGGGCCTGATGTTGTGCATCAAAATGTCCAGTTGCTCCTCACTGGGCATCTTGCACGAGAGTCTAGAGAACATGGCCTGCATTGTAGAGATGTAGTTGCCCAATGTTTCTGATCGGGCCTGTGTACGCTGTCTGATTTCATTGCGGAGGCGATAATCATAGTCAGGAAGGTCGAAGGTTTCTTTCAGCTCCTCTATCATGCCCTCATATGAGGTGAAAGTCTCCTTGTTGGTGCGGTACCACGACAAGGCCGGACCGTCCAATAGGTCAGAGAAGGCTGTGAGGATCTTATCCTTGGTGACTTCCCGAGCACATCTAAGCTCCTCTAGTCTCTCAATGAAGACACGTACACAAGAAGAGCCATCATATTTTATATTAAAAGAATTTAAATTAACGGGTCTATCCCTTACTATTATATTTGAATTAGGGTCGGAACTGGATGCGTTGGGTCGCGTCGAGCGGTCCCCCCTTACCACAGGTGAGGTGTAACCTATGTGGTCGCGATGAGTAGGATCAGTCTCCTTCTCCGAAACCTCAGAGTCCGAGTCGGTATCTGATTCAGACACCGCCAAAACTTTGACTAAGCGGTCACGGATGCCTACTAGTTCTGGACAGTCTAAACCACACCTGGCTAACCTAGCGAGAAGATAATTAGCCCTCAATGCAACTCTAGTACGACAATTTTTATTCGAAACAAAGTCACCTGAAGAAAGGACCTGTTCCAGCTCAGAGATCTTAGGCTCGCAGACAGACAACTCAGAGGCGGCAACAGCAGGAACAGCGGCGATGGCCTTAATGCTGCCACGCCGGATAAGCCGCAAAGCAGTACGCAGTTCACTTCGCAAGCCGACAACCGTATCATCCGGATTCGCTGAAATCCCCATGGCAGACAGTTCATTAATAAGTTCATCTTTTTTAAGGTAGTTAATGCACTTACGTAAATGTGCCATGGTGGTTTACAATTTAAATTCGATTATACAAAAATAATCTTAACAAATTAACAAACCAGTAATGCAGACTTAATGTCTTTTACAGTTCAAAAAAAAGTAAAAAATAATGATATTGAGTAGACTTCTTCACTATTAACAGAGTGTGAGAAGGTTAAAGTAAATTAATATTTAAAAAATATTATAACAAAATATTAAAACATCAAGTAATATCTCAAAGTACAAAATAATGCTACTGAGTATATTTCTTCACTATTAAGTGTGAGAAAGCTAAAGCACACCAATATTTCAAAAAAATATTACAATAAAATATTAAAACATTAAGTAATTTCTCAAAACTTGAGAAGCAAATTCAACTAAAGACAAAGATATTCTTGTTTCACAATTCAAGACACAAGTTATACTATCTCTAGAATATTGACACAGTAATCCAATGAAATGACAAAGTTTTTTTTTTATTATAAAAGTTAATTCGACAAAAAAAATTTAAGACAAGTTATATTATCTTTAGAATATTGACATAGTAATCCAATGGATTGACAAAGTTTATTATTATAAAAGTAATTTCGACATAAATTCTAAGTAGGGTATGTATACAACAAAACTATTTTATTTTAATTTTAAACCAGTAGGTTATATAAAAAATGGAGGGTACATAAAACTTTATAAGTTAAGTTTCAAGTAAATTACACCAGTAGTACTGGGATAAAAAACACACTGAATATACACGTATGCACAACTTCACGCTACGGACCTCAAAGGTACTAACAGAAGTAGTGAACAAAAAAAAAAAGAAAAAGAAATTGAGTTTGGCCAAAAAAAAATGTTTCAAAACTTACCCGAAATATGTGCAGTTGGAATTTTGAGTTAAATTTGGAATTTAGGTGTCTCACTGATTTTCCTTGCCTCAGGGATGATGGTACTATAGGCTGAAAATACAATGAGGGTAAAATTATTACATGCGTACTGCACCCGCACAACCAATTAACGTCCTGGGGAGTATCGGACGGAGGGAAGTGTCTCCTCCAAAGTGAATACCCCTAGGCACCCTCACACAGCACACACACAGAGGTCTGGATCGCTAGCCCCACGTTGGGCGCCAATTTGTAGCCGCTTTTCTTCTCAGGCGGACTACTCACCGGCTGACCCAGTGGAGAGATTCAAGAGATTACCTCAGGGCGCCTTGTATGAGAATAGAAGTGTGTGCGTGTGGGAAACCTATGGGACTCTTTAGAGGAAAACAACTTACACCTCAGTTATACATACATGTATATTTCAAAAAAAAAGTAGTTCAAATTTACAATGAGAAATTAAATAAATTAAACAGTGTGGGTACAAGAAAAAGAAGAAAAAAACCGCAGCGGAGCGCGTTGGAGCCGAGCTGATGGTGCTCGGTGCCTCCTCGTCGTCCCTCCAGGAGGTTACTTCCTCTTCCGCCCGAGTCGGCTATTTATAACAATTTGCAATTATAAGTTTAAGTACGTAACTCTTGGGTACGGCTGTCCGCTTGCGTCGTGAGCCGCGCAATCACCAGCTTTGCCAGAGGGTACCAAGAAACTTGAGTCTGTACCAGAAGGCCACAAAAGAGCAAGCACGCCGTCTGAGACTGACCGTCTTGAGCCCGAAATCTGGGACCCTACGAATGGATTAGCACTCATATAATTAAACAGGTTCCAGAAACAAATAGGTTTAAGTAGAATTAAGAACATACTCACCAATTTAGTGTGGGTACTTTTGAACAGATAATATATTAAGAAAATCAAATCACACAGCAATCAAAACACTATATAAGATCGGAAGGCACGAGATAGCAGTGTTTCCCGTGGCAGAAAGCCGGACTTATATATCTTCGGTTAACGAAGCTTCCAGAAAATAACCCCTCTTCAACATTTTACTTTGACATTTAACATCAGTGAACACAGAAGATCAAAACTGTAGTTATAAACTACCTTAGATAAATCAACAACAATGCAACGCGGCTAATTGATGTAGCTTTTAACAAGACCGTACGCATTACAAATGTACAAAAAAAATAACTGTTACAACCCCGCCGCAAACCCCGGTGGGATGACGGTCCGAGGGGATTTCCACACGTTAAAAAAAAAAAGAAGGGTTTGTGTCAAGTTTTCCTTTTCTCTGCAGTGCTGTTGTTCTGCGTAGTTTTTTCCCTTAGTCGGCTCTTACAACACCCACGGGATGAATAGGGGCGGTGACACGCTGTATTCTTTATCCGTCAGAACACGGTTTTTCTTGCGAAGTTATAAGAAATAGTTAAGATACAATTTGGTTTAAAACTAAAATTCCATTCAACCGTCGCTTGCTTTCTCTTTTAAATGTTGACGAGGAGATTTGATTCACCTAGCAATGTAACAGAAACGAATACATACGTTACATGGCCACTACTTGGGGTACTGTTTATCCTATGAGATAGATTGTATTCTGGAATAGCATATAGGCTACTTTATCACGAAAAAATGTAGTGTTCCCGTAAGCAATAACAACTTAACAACTTACGTGATTATAATTCTTAAATTAACGAAGTCTAGTGACGAATAGTGGACTGATAAGCCGTGGGATCGATGCCCACCCAGGACAAATAATTGTGTGATGAGCACGATCTTTTGTTTTGTGTCTGGTTGTATTTTAGCTATAATAATGGGAGAGGCCTATGTCCAGCAGTGGACTGCGATAAGCTGATAATGATGATGATGTATGTGTTTAGAAATATAGTTACCATGCTAATAAGTATTTTTATCAAGTGTTTCGTTATTATTATAACTCTTTCCTCAACAGAAAAGAAGCCCGTTCCTGTGCTCTGTATGGTTCGTGTCGCACTTGTCCATCTTGACATTGTACTGTTTTATGTTTACCGCCAAAGTTATTGTGAGTTACCATGCTAAGCAGTACTTAATAGTAACATTGACTGTTCTGTCGGCTGTCATTTATGAAGGTATATTATGTTTAACTGTTCCACTAATGCCTTTGCAATAGATAGGTTGAAAAACAGGTGCAACATTAACCTCCGGTTCCACCTCACTGGCGCTCAAGCGCTTAGATCGGGAGCTCCTCCTGGAAGCCGCTATCGTACAGGCCTGGGCCCCTGCGCCGGACAAGCCAACTAAGGGTGGCGGTGCTACGGCTTAAAGCCAAAAACACCGCCCCAGGACCTGATGGCATCCCAGGCAGAGCGTGAGTCCTGGCCTTAGGTGACGAGGTTCTCGAGCCCGACTGCGAGGGTTCTTCAGCGCATGCCTCGAGTGGCAGTTTCCGAAATTGTGGAAGCCGTTGAAACTGGTCCTCATCCGAGAGCACGGACTCACCTTCTGCCTACCGGCCCATAGTATTGCTTGACGAGGTGTGCAAACTCTTCGAAAGAGCAATTGCAAGGCGCCTGTCAAGCATCTCGTTATAGTGGGGTCGGATCTGGCGGACAACCAGCACAGTTTTTGTCAAGGGCGCTTCACCGTGGACGCGATCATGCGCATGAGGGCTCTGGCCGAGGAAGCAATCCGGAGAGAACCGTCGTCTACCCAAGTAGGACCGGTCTCTGTTGACGTGAAATGTTGTGCGGTGTTCCATAGGGGTCGGTGTTGGGGCCACTCTTGTGGAACATTTGCTTCGACTGGGTGCTTCGTGGTGCCTTCTTGGATGGTGTGGCCGTCACGTGCTACGCGGATGACACTCTCGTGACGGCGTGCGGCAAAACGCACCATGAGGCAAACCTGAGGGCTACGGCCGGGGTTGCCCAAGTTGTTGAGCGGATCCGGCGGCTGGGTCTTGAGGTGGCTCTTCACAAATCCGAGTCCTTGTTCTTCCATGATCCTTGGAGGAAGCCACCTGAGGGATCCAGCCTCATGGTAGGAGGCACTCGCATCGACATCTACCCCTCGATAAGGTATCTGGGGCTCGTACTCGATGGCCGATGGGACTTCGGATATCATTTCGTGGGAAGCGAGAGTGCGTGGAACTCTGCCGTCTCTTTCTGCAAGCAGGTTATGCTTGCGAAGGAGATGGCGGAGCGGGACCGGGAGAGGTTTAGAACTCTCACAGCCCGCCAGGCTCGGTAACGGGCCAGGTACCGCAGACGAATCAGGCGCCGGAGGTCGCAGAACGACCTCCGTAGATGGCCCGTCCTCCATAAGTGCATTCCTTGGGGTGACAGGTGAGGCCAACTGTCACCCTAGCAAAAGCAGGCCAGGGTGGCAGCGATACGCGCTGCAGAGCGCGCGCGACCTTTCGGGAGCACAAAGGAAACCAGGGGGGTTCCCACACAGGAGGAGGTCATCTACCCGCTGTAGATGGCCCAAGGTACGTCGGGGTCCCAGGGATTTCCTTTCTAGGGTACACCTGGTTCCACGGCTACTAGTATCCGAGACGGCGTGCGGTTTTTAGTCGGTTCGAGTCCGACATAGCTACCGGTGGGTGGTATCCGAAGGGATTTCCGCACAGAAAAAAAAAAGGTGCAACAAGGTGCAACCTTGTCTAATCTGAAGAATATAGGCATTTATTTATTTAAGTATTAAGTTTTGTGTCATACCAACAATTGGGCTTTATTTCTTGTTTCAGGTGTATTCATTTTCTTTATGTTCATCGTCCATAGGTATGTAGCTACGATGCAATAAAGACTAATACAGAGAGTAATGTGCAATTGTCATTTTAGAATTGTATGTTACCAAATGATATTTATAATTTAATATTTATGAATTTATTTAATCCGATAATTTCAAGATATATAATTTGAATATTTAATTTTGGGGGCCTATTGGTAAAAATAAAAAAAAAATGTGAACAACTCTTAATAAAAAGTAAATTTGCAGAAATAATCAATACTATTTTTAAATCTAAGAAGTTTGAAAGCCGTAGCTTGTAACTCGCGCATTAAACCGGTTTGTAATACAATGAATACTAAAGAGCATCACTTACATTTTTCATTTTCTTTAATGAGTGGCGTATTGGATTTTGGCAGTAATTATGACATTAGCAAAAGAAGAACACACTGTTGTGGACGTGTCTGAATATACTCGTGTGATTTCGAGGAGAATGTTTGGACTTACGTCGACTTCCACAGCACTACTGACATACAATTTTTAATCCTATTTTAATGGGATAAAGTTAATATTTTAATTTACGTTTGTATGTAGATTAGTGTTCGATATTGTGCTGCTTAATCTGAGTTGAGTGTTGTCGTTAAGATGCTAATAGACTTGAACTTTCAATCGTGACCAATAATCGAGCATTCGGCATTTTTAAATTTGCTGAACTGAACAACGAGCATAGTCAAACATAGAGTTAATCATCGCTACGAACCTATTCACGATCATTCTATCGTACACTCTATTAAATACAACGCCAGGCGTGTGACAGGTGTTGGCGGAGAGAGAGAGGGCGAAGGAACAATAACAAAATTGCCAGGCTCAACGAAAAGCTCGAGAAAATTTACTACCGTTTCGCTAGAAAGCCCGTTAGAACGCTCACTAGAATGCTCACCAAAACGCTCCTGAGCTTACATTCGATAGATTGCTCATAACAAGTAAATGCTCAAGTCTATCAGCACCTTTTATATTAAATAATATGTTTTGTGTACAGACCAATTGTTTGAAAGAGAATTATTTTTGAACGTTTGGTCAATTTTCTTAGTAGATTGGCAGAACAATCATCATCAACATCAATTAAAGCTATTATTGATGTTACTAACATCAATAATAGCTTTAAGATAAGTGCCATAATTGTACAAACAGCATTTTTTAAATTGTCTAATCATAGGGCACGAACTTAATAGCAATTATATGAAGCCAACTACTGCATTATACTCGCGACTCTTGTGTAGGGTATAGCACGAATCAGGCTTTTGTATAGCAAAAACAAAGGAGTAATACGTGGATTGCAAGCGGATCTACAGAAATTTTCAGTATGAATGAAAATAGACCTGTCCGAAAAGGGACGCAATTTCAATTCATTTTTCATGTCAGATTTCAATGAAATTTAATGTCAAAGTCTTCATGATAAATTGCTTTTTAGAAGATTTTTAAAATAATAAGCAGCCAATAGCGTGTCGGGCTATGCGCAATATAGGGCTCGTAGTGGCTCGCATTACGGACTTAAAAATGAAGTTTAGGAACAGGAGGACGGCCAAAAACGGGCACACAGAATGTAAAACACTGAACAGTGACATCTAGTTACGCCTTGAAAACTAACAAGAAAATAAATTATTATATTTAATATTTCGTAAACGTATCACTGAATAAAAGAAAAAGTTTTAATGACCCCTTGGCGTTTTTGAAAGAGCTGTCTAATACCCCACACCCCACACAATTGGATAGTCAAAAATAAAAAATAACATTATCACTTTGTGTACCCTCAATTATTTTTTTAATTTTACCATTTTGTTGGCTTTCTTAATATAATACATAAAAATAAAAGCTTCCTTGTCCTAACATTCTCTAAGTTAAGTCGCGGACGGACAGAAGGACATGGCGAAACTATAGTGTGATGTGTAACCTATCGTGAACGCGTTAATTCCCATGAATTGCGCGGACTCATTTAAACAAACCTCAATTTTAAAGATCCATTACATATCATACAAAATTCAGTGAAAACAAATAATAAAATGACAATGACTACAAGATGAGTGCTTCCATATATCACCGCAACACAAGGTAAGTACAGCTTACGTCATAATGGTCGCTTAGGAAAATTGCTGCCAGTAAACAGAAGCTGAAAAATTCTGACTAATGATCTTACTTGTCCTGGGAATCTACAACATACTATATTTAAAAAAAATTATAATGCTTATTAAATTTTTAAGTTAACCCGTAACAACAATTGGTTCTTTTTTCTATCATTCCACATTTTTAAAACCACTTTCGTTCCAAACTCTTTTTAATATATCCAATAAATTATTGATAAATCTTATAATAACGTGACCAAGCTTTTGGATCCTTTTGATAAATTCTATTTCTAATGGCCTGTTGATTTAGTCTTTAATGATCCTAACTACTAAAAGTCGTGGGTTGGATTCCCACCCAGGACAAAATAACTCCGTGATGAGCATAATCAATTTTGTTCTGTGTCTATATACAAGCATCATATCATAAGATCAGGTTACCATAACATGTCTAATTTGTGATCAGACGTGTGTAAAATGTGTAAAAAAACAAATTAGTTTCATCATCATCATCATCAGCTTATCGCAGTCCACTGCTGGACATAGGCCTCTCCCATTGCACGCCACTTAGATCGATTTTGCGCTTCTTGCATCCAGCTCCTGCCAGCCATCTTGCGCAAATCGTCACTCCACCTGGCCTGTGGACGTCCTACACTACGTTTGCCGAGACGCGGTCTCCACTCAAGAACTCGTTTTTCCCAACGGTTGTCGATTCTGCGGCTAATATGGCCAGCCCATGGCCACTTCAGCTTACTGATGCGGTAGGCTATGTCGGTGACCTTGGCTCCCTGCCGGATCACCTCATTTCTGATGCGATCCCTTAGAGAAACGAAGAGCCTTTCCATAGCACGTTGAGCGACTTTTGAACTTGTGGACCAGCTGTACCGTAAGTGTCCACGTTTCGTCTTAAGGCATTGTTTGATCGACGATGAGAAGACTCGACGTAGCTTCCCAAACGCTGCCCAACCCAACCGAATTCTTCTGTCCACCTCGTCCTCGAAGTTGTTTCTACCTAACTGCAATGTCTGCCCGAGGTACACATAATTTTGAACAACTTCGAGAACGGCACCGTGTACCGCAATCGGTTCCGGTAGTACATGTTCGTTGAACATGACCTTGGTTTTATCCATGTTCATCCGTAGGCCGATGCGTACAGAGTACAAAAAAACAAATTAGTTTAAAAGGAAGTTATTTCATACATCTCTCTCTGAATATAAAGAAGGAAGGAAGGAAATAAATACAATAAAAAATAAAGGAAGTTTCTAGCACCTCATAAAAACGTTAAAATTCATATCGCAGTAAATATTTCGCAGTATTACTGCGGATGCCCATAAATTAAAAAAAAAGCAAATAATATGCATTATTTAAATGTACTTAACGTACGTACAAAATTACAAAAGCAGTTTCGTTTACATAAAACTTCTATACACGGTTGAATAAATATCGCGGTGGTATTTCTTTAGTTTATTTTACTGTGAGTCATTAAAATTTGCAAAATTGTATGAACCCACACAAAGCATAACGAAAGTGAAATGAACTTACCAAAAAGGTTTAATAGTTTGGACTTACTATTTCTCAAAGGTTTCGAACGTGAATCATGTATTTACTTATTTTTTAAATTTATATTTATTTGCTTGTATTTGGAAAATTTTAGTATCATAAATCACATAGTGATTAGGCCGATAGACGGGGCAAAGCTTGAAGCTTCCCCCGGGATAAGTCTAGGTTAGACGCGGCGTTGATTCGGCAGGGAACCACATGGATGGAAATCACATGACCATGGCGCCCTCCCCAGAATAGGGCGCATAGAGGCCGGCCGTCGAGGTGGATTTTAATGAGAAATACCTAATATTTATAACTCCTGCATTTCCAAGGACAGCCGGAGACCTGAAGGGCTTTCGACATCATCACCAACAAAAATAGCATAAATTTACCATGACTATACTACTCGTATAGCTATAGTGGCTATATATATGGCTATAGTGGATTTTGCAAAGATTGCTAAAAAGGTAATAACTGTGTCATTACCAAAACACCAATCGCTGACGACATTCGATTCGGTCATTTAGCCATTGGTGTCATATTACAGTTTACGTTAAAAATAAACATTTTCAAATTAGTAAAAAACAACATCGCGTATTCCATTTATTCTTTACAAAAGTACAATTTTACAATTAAAATTCAATGCACCTTTAAAAACAAGAACTAATTATAATAGCCTATCGCAGGGTAGGCGAACCAATGGCACGCGTGCCGTTGATGGCACGCGACACAATATTTTGGGCACGTCGCCGATCATAAAACATGTGTAAAAAATGTGTTAAGTAGGTATTTTATGACGATCGAACCTAGTTCTGTTGGGTTGAGGCTAACCTGCAAGCATCAGAAACGATATAATCACAAGAAACTACAAGTATTTTCCAAACTTGAAAAAATATATAATTGATTTTGACATTCACGAGACAGCAGACAAAGAATTATTTACTGAAGAATTTATTTCTGTAATCGATTCTTTAATTATTGAATTTTCAGGGAGATTTTCTCAGTTCAAAGAATTGTCGGAAATACTCAAATTTATTATGTACCCTGATGTGACGTCATTTCATAAACTGAACTTCTCTCAATTCGATTGGTTGGAAATTGAAGAATTTGAAATGCAGTTGATTGATTTCCAATCTAGTTCAATATGGATTCAAAAATTTATTGAAACAAGGAAAGAGTTGGAATTAATTGAAACTGAAAGATTGACAAGTAATTTAAGTAAAAATGCTAATAACAATTCTGGAAACATGGAATGCGTTACCAGACACATTTAACTGTTTGAAGAAGCTGGCTCATGCTATTTTAACAATGTTTTCATCTACCTATGCCTGTGAGTCATTATTTTCAGAGATGTATAACATTAAAAACTCGGTTAAAACCGTTTGACAGATGAATCCAGTTCAGCATGCATTTTGA